ATGGTGCTGAAAGGTGAGAGGAAATATGCAATGTATTACGTCTACAAACACTTAGTCGAAACTGATATTAAGAAAGGAAATTAAAAAGCTGTAATTGAATACTATTTTAAAGATATTTATACGACAATACCGAACACGGGCGGGTAATCGTTGTAATTGTTGTTTTATAATTATCATAATTATTTTTGAAAATGTTCTAGAATATGTACTTTTTCGAAGTGATTTTTTTTTGTCTTATCTTGAGTGGATATTTTCTCCCTGATCGATCAATATACCATGTAATGACAGCGACGCAAAACAATGACACAACAATTGGACGATGGAAGACTGAACCCAAGCAAGACACCCTGTTCTTGGCGCGAAATTGTCGCGGCTGCAAACTCTCTCCGCCCGCGCAAACAAACAAACTACGCAGATCTGAAGAAAACAAAAGCTGCTTTTTTGTACGAAGCAGTCCAGCTTTTGTTAACAAATATTTTCAATTTTGTCTTTGATAGAGTTTAGACCACAAACTTGTTCAAAAGGTACGTGTCATTCTTTTCTCTGTGTTCGTGCAATAGTTGTTCTTCAAACTTCATAGTTGTTTTACTGTGTTCAGCTTACGGAAACCAACTCCGAACAGGCGTGTATGTCGTGCTTAGGAGCTGTTGGGAGCTTTTCTGATTGTTAAATCTGGTTCAGTAAGCTATAAAAATTTTTCTATATCACAGTAGAGTTTACATTAGCTCAAGCTCTTTTTTCTTAATAGGGTTAGTCCATTTCTGCAAAGGTAATAGTTGGCTTATATTTCACAATGCAATTCAAGTCAAAACTCCATGCGAGAACCTACTAACATCAAGATTAACCAACTCTGGGTTTTCTAACAGTTATACTTAACTACGAAAACTACTTCAGGGTAATGAAATAATATAAGACTTACATATATTTTTTTTCATGGACAGTGTACTCCAATAAAAATGTGTGTACCAGACTTTGATGGGCATAGTACTGAAGCAAGTATATGATGAGCTTATTTGAACTGGATTCAGTGCAGTTTATCAAACAAAGAAGTGTGATTATTTGAAGACTTCGGATGTTTTACAGACGTGAGTATCTCTTTCTATTGATTTTTCTGGGTTGTATACGTAATGGGGCTGAGGCTGCATAATTTTTAAAATGTTCCATTGATTTTTCTGCCACAACAGCTAGGTATGTTTCAACATTTAATAACAATCATTCAAACATACCGACCTGTCCCTTCTTTATTGTGACTGGACAATAACTTTAAAAATAGCCTGCGTAGCAAGCTTTCCCGCGCGAGGTTTGTGCAAGAGACTAAGTTTATAGAGGGCAAAAAGAGGAAGGAGGGGCCGGGAGGGGCTAACTCGCGCAATAACTCTATTGGAAACGCTTGTTATGCAGGCTAGGTATAATATAAAGTGTTTCTTTAGTTTAACTTTAAGCTTTGGGCATAGAGGGAAACTTTTATTGAATTTTCCTGGACCTTATTAAGTGATAATAAGGCTCGATTCAAACGTCAAATTTCACAAATGACGAACTTAATGACAATCCACGTACACGAAATGTAAGGTTCCCATTCAAAAGCATTAGGTTCGCTACACATTTTTAACTGGGTCTTTAAGTTTTGATAAAGGTAAAGAGAAAGGGGGATTTTCTGCAGAAAAGGAGCGATAGTAAAAAGGGAGTGGGGCCGAAAAATTTATTTAAAACACTATGACTGAATTTTTTATCTCAAATTGCTATATCCTTTTACAATTATTTCACAGATAAAAGAAACAAGCAAAGTGATAAGTCTCCAGTGGAACGAAACACACAACAGAGGAAGATTGAAGTTAGATACATGGCGTTTGTCTTTCACTTACATCAAGAATCAAAAGCACTCTAGAATGAAAATGTTCGCAAAGATAACATCAAGACAGATGGGCTCCTGATCAAGAACATTTCTTACTTACGATGATTTTTGCACTGGCTTGCGTGAAAGAATTGTTTTAAACTATTTTGCAGGTTGCCGTCCGTGTCAACAGCTTTTATCTAAAACATTTATAGTGCTTCAAAAATTTGCGGCAGTCATTATGATTGTCCACTGACAGACTGCAATGAGTGCTTTAGACATTAAATCGTGAAAAGGTTTTAAAAAATCATTTTTATGCGTTTAAGTTTTAATCGCAATTATTCAGCTTTTTAATCATCTAATGAGGTTTTAGGACAATAAAGTACAAGATTAAGAACTCGGTCTCTTATCTGTCCACCTTTTTAAACGGTATCCAGGTCGCAATTGAATTTGATTGAAATCTGAAGTTGGATTCTAGCATGTATATCAAGCGCTTATGACAAGCGAGGCAATGACGCGGCATTCGCGCGAAGCGCGAGGCGAACGCGGAATTCACGCGAAGCTCGGGGCGAGCGAGAGGCGCGATGCGAGGGGAGGAAAAAACCAAACATATTTGGCAACACCTTTGTTAAACCTTTGACTTAAATCTCAGACGCATTTGACGACAGC